TGGGTTGTACTCTCTAAGAACATACACCTATTCTAGCCTATAACTTCTACATGCAAATGTATGTATGTGTTGACAGTGACGAATTGAGAGTGCACAAATTTGGAGACTTGGTTATAAATGCGGTACCCTAACTTCAGAGGTGGCATGGCACCCCCCCTCATTGGAGGTGGGTGCAAGCAACAAAATTGACAAGTTGAGTGTGTCCCACGTCGAAACAATGCATAGGCTACAATTTGATATAGAAAAAAAATGGATTTGCCTATATACCCTTTTAAACGCCCATGGGCATATATTTTTTATTCAATTAAAGCCCGCGTCTCATATTTACAAAGGTAATACCTTTGGTCAGGCCTCCCGCCAGCTGATTAGCGAGCGAGAGGCGAATTTGATTGACGCGAAAGTTGGAAGTGGGCGAAAGTCGAGGCTTAACCAAGGCAAAAAAACAAAACCAAAAGCGAAGGCTGGGAAGACCACTGAACCACCACCCCAAGACAAAAAATGTCGCCACATGAGACCAACCACCACCAGAGCGACACAACCACCGACAGAGCAACCAACTCTCCCGTCACACACAGGACCCTGCCACACCGCACTGAACGTTACAACCTCCCAGCCACAACCCACACAACAGCAGAAGCCAATTCGCCCAGATAGGAACGGCCCACGGCCCTCACCTTATGTCCTTCTCCCCAATCCCCGTGGGGGCCGTTCGCCGGCCAGTTTTATAGTGGCACGGAGAGGAAGGGCTGGCATGCGGAACATAAAACGAGGGTTCATTGGGTCGCCGAAAATTTAGTGCGACGAATGACGTCATCATGCGACGAGTTTGGTTTAGTTGGCGATTTCCAAACCTAGAACTCCCAAGTCGCATGCCTCTTCCCGTTCCCCCCAAAAACGCACAAAATCCGCCGCCCATAGCTCAGGGGCAAACTCAGTGCCATACCCCCCACACAACTCATACCACCAAGGTCGTAGTATTGAGCGGAGGGGCTTCGGCATGGCGCGCAGAGCTGGCCAGTGCACTCGCGTTTAATTGGCCAAATCGAATTGGAATGGTCGGGGATTTTTTTCGTGGAAGGTCCCCACATCTGAAAGTTGTCACTGCACATCGTCGGCAAATTTGTTTTACTCGTTCTGCAAAGCTTGACCACTGCCATCATTTAAATTGACTGTCTTGACTTCGGGTCCGCGCGGGCACAAATAAAATTATCGAATATGTTCGGCCACGTAACTTCTGTTCGCCTGGGAGACCGTCGCCCGTGCTACTCCTCGTGCCCCTTCCCCTTCCCGTCAAAATTACCAGCGAACGGCCCCCCCGCGACCTTGAAACAAGAGCCCAATAGGCAAGAGATACGCAGAAGCTTACAGAGAGGAGCGGCGCAGCCTGTGAGACCGGAAGTGCTAGTGCGGCGAGCCCGAGACGAGGCACAGCGCAACCAGGAAAGCGGTGGGGAGGGGGGGAGCGTGGCGAAAACGACATGAGACGCAGGTATGAGACGCGTGCCACGAACTGCGGTGTAGCACAGGACACTCGAGGCACACAAACGAAGTGCGGAGCTTGCCCACGTCCACCGCGCAAAACGCAGCACCCATCAAATCCGTGATGTGCAACCTCGCCGCGCGAAAGCGCACGACTTGCGTCGCTCTGACAAGCCACGCTTACCGGTCTCGGTAAACGAATAGCGAAGCTCACGCCCAATCTACACGCTGCACGTGATGGAAGCAACCCTAAACGCGACGACAGGGGCAGGTCCCATAGCATGAAACCTGCCTAGGCGCGGCAGACACACATGCCGGACCAAAACCCCACCGCGAGGACACCCCCGCTCCCAGGCAGAGTCGCCTAGCCGCGTCCACCCCCTCCCACCCCCTCCCCCCCCCCCCCTTCCCCCCAGTGGTACTCGCACAAACCGGCACGAGGCGGCTGCGCGCACACAAATCGCCCACTCCGGCGCCTACGATCTAGACCTGCCGTGCTGATGGACCCCATGGGCATGCGACAATGACCCAGTAACCACCCCGGAACACCCCCCTCCTACAGAACCGGAGACCCATGAAACTCCAAGCCAGAACACGGCCCCTCCCCTCCCTCCAGCCTCCCCAAACCCCCAGCCACCCCATCCCCCTCCTACCCCAGCGAGCCACACTCACCTTCTCCCCTGCCGCCTCCTCCAGATGTGTTCCCCACACCTTACGAACGTGCGACAGTTCTCCCTCCAACCCATACTCCCCTGCCACCCCTACCGCTGCTGAAGCCACTACAGTTTTTCCAGAGGGCCAGCCGCTGCTGAAGCCACTACAGTTTTCCCAGAGGGCCAGCCGCTGCTGAAGCCACTACAGTTTTCCCAGAGGGCCAGCCGCTGCTGAAGCCACTACAGTTTTCCCAGAGGGCCAGCCGCTGCTGAAGCCACTACAGTTTTCCCAGAGGGCCAGCCGCTGCTGAAGCCACTACAGTTTTTCCAGAGGGCCAGCCATTGTTGTACTTACTATGGTCTTCCCAGTGATACAGCCGTTGCTGTAGTGTCTACAGATACTACAGTTATTCCGGTGGTACAGGCATTGCTGTAGTTAGTACAATTACTATGGCAACTACAGTTCCAGTGGTACAGTCATTGCGGTAGTTGCAACAGTACAGTTTTTCCAATGGTACAGCCATTGCTATGGTTACTACAGATAAACCCATGCACCGTGAACGCATGAGAACTACAAAAAGGCAAGAAAAGCAATCAACGGTGCGCAATCAAGGCAGGCCAACGCATCTCATTTGTCTCACATATCGGTGGGGTGAAAGGAGTGCGGTGAGACAAGATCGTGCATGTAGTCGTTGAGCCTAACCACGTGGGAGGGTAAAAAGGGGATGAGTGGAGCAAGTAAGGTGTTCGATCTTCATTCGATTGGGTGTGTGCATCCCAGCATGGGAAAGGGGGAAAGCATGGGCTGGGAAAGGGGGGAAGCATGGGCTGGGAAAGAGGGGAGCATGGGCTGGGAAAGGGGGGAAGCATGGGCTGGGAAAGGGGGGAAGCATGGGCTGGGAAAGGGGGGAAGCATGGGATGGGAAAGGGGGGAAGCGTGGGCAGGGAAAGGGGGGAAGCATGGGATGGGAAAGGGGGGAAGCATGGGCTGGGAAAGGGGGGAAGCGTGGGCAGGGAAAGGGGGAAAGCATGGGATGGGAAAGGGGGGAAGCATGGGCTGGGAAAGGGGGGAAGCATGGGCTGGGAAAGGGGGGAAGCATGGGCTGGGAAAGGGGGGAAGCGTGGGCTGGGAAAGGGGGGAAGCATGGGCTGGGAAAGGGGGGAAGCATGGGCAGGGAAAGGGGGGAAGCATGGGCTGGGAAAGGGGGGAGCATGGGCTGGGAAAGGGGGGAAGCATGGGCTGGGAAAGGGGGGAAGCAGGGGCTGGGAAAGAGGGGAAGCATGGGCTGGGAAAGGGGGGAGCATGGGCTGGGAAAGGGGGGAAGCATGGGCTGGGAAAGGGGGAAGCATGGGCTGGGAAAGGGGGAAGCATGGGCTGGGAGAGGGGGAAGCATGGGCTGGGAAAGGGGGGAAACATGGGCTGGGAAAGGGGGGAAGCATGGGCTGGGAAAGGGGGGAAACATGGGCTGGGAAAGGGGGACGAGCCTGCAGGGAAAGGGGTGGATTGCGGTCTGGGGATGGCATGGAAGTGGGGGCGTGGTCAGGGGGAAACGGCAGGCTGGGATCCGGGGGAATCGTGGGCTGAGCGAGCATGGGGGGAATGACGCGTGGGAAAGGGGGGAATATGGGATTGGGAAAGGGAGACTCGGCGGGCATTGAAAGGGGAAATCGACGCAAAATTGGAGGGGAGGCGCAGTGCATGGGTTCTGGGAATGGGGGGGATGGCGGCCGGGAAAGGGAGGGCCTCTTGGGCTGGGATATGGGAGTTTGGCGGGCTGTGAAAGGGAGGAACGGCGAGCTGGGCAATGGGGGGAAGGCGGGCTGGGCAGGGGGGCATCGACGGATGGGGTTGCGGGGCATTGCGACTTGTTCTAGGTTGGGCACTCTCGGGTGGGAAAGGGGGGTACGGCAGGCTGGGCCTGGGGGAAAGCGGGCTGGGTTTGGGGGAACGGCGGTAGGGAAGGGGGCGTGAAGCTGGATGCGAAGTGGGGCACGGCGGGCTTGGAAACGGGGGGAGCAAGGACCGCGCTAGCACCGCGCTTCGTAGCGGTCGAGAGTTAGAGGGCAGGGAGTTGCGGAGCCTAGGACAGGTTTTCGTGGGCAGAAGTGGCGGAAGGAAGTGTGCTTTGGAAGTCTGGGTTTGCGATCCTCTCATCGCTGGGTGGGTGTGCAAGCTGTGCGAGGTCTGAACTTGGTGCGCGACGCTAGCGAGCAGCTCGGCGCGGCGTACGCGGTGCGTTTTTTACCCGTGTGGAACCCCGCCTGCCACAGGTGTGACTGCTTTTGGGCACGTAAGTCCGGTAAGCCGCGTTTAGGTGCGCAAGTGGCTTTGGTGCTCGCCATTGGAGGCGCGGCTATGCATGCTTTCTGTTGTCCCATGGCACAAAGCTCCGATTTCCCTCCCATGTCCGCCTAGGCACGCCGAGGGGAGTCAGTCGGCAGGACTAGAGGCCTCGCTTACCCGTTCAACTGCCCTTGTCCGCGCGCTGTTGGACCCCGCGAACTGCTCCGCGTTCTACGCTAGCGTTCCACACAGTTCCGCGCGCTGTTGAACCCCGCGAACTGCTCCGCGTCCTACGCTAGCGTTGCACAGTCTATAAGCCCGTTCCTGTTGGTGACTACTCTGTTCGTTGGAGCTCCACGGAATCTGCTCGTGTTACCCCCGCGAGGACAGTGCGCGTGTCTGCGTTCGGTCGGCGCAAAGGATCGCAAGTTTGCTTCCAGTCTTGTATTTCTGCAAGGCGGTAATTCCCTTGGTTTGCATGGTGGTTGGGTGTTTGGGCGTGCGATCTTCCCTTTGTCGCACACTTGGATTGTTTGCACAGTGGTCCCGTTTGGTAGTAGTTAAGTGACGTATTACTGCCTCTTTGTTTTCCTGCCAATCAGATCCATGTCAAATCCAAACCAACACCTGTCGTGTGTTTTGCAAAAACCCTGCATGGTTACCCTGTTTTCAAGCGTATAATTTTGTTGCTCCCCCAGAAATATGAGACTGGGGCTTTAAACGCCCCCCCACCTTTTCAAACCAGTCCTATAAACGCCCCTAGGGGCGTCTATCCGGGTGATTACGGTAGGACACCGTACATTGGATTGGATTATCAAGGCAGAAGCTGCTACCAATACGTATGTAGGGTATGAACGGGCTGTCACCACGGTTGCCAGTGATTGAGCTTCTGCACTTCAGAAACTATGCCGAAGCTCCCTTCTTCTTCAGCTGCCCACGCACGGCACCGTCAGGGTACTTCTTGGTGTGAATATTCCCGTAGAACTGATTAGGAGCCGCCACGATAGCCTTCAGCGCAGCCTGCAGCTCCGGAGTGCTTTCCCCGGCAGCCTTGCCTAGCGAGCTGGCGCAGCGCCAGTAGTTGCGCTTCTTGTACTGCTTGTACTCGCACGGGAGATTCACCAGCAGGTCGCCGTTCTTGCCCTTAGCGCCCGCGTGAACGTGTGTCTTAATGGGGGGCATGTCGCCTTGCAGGAGGGCCACGCGAGCCACGAAGTTGAGCCACGTGTAGGCGCCCTTGCCGTCCCTGCGCAAGGAACATTCACGAGTACGCACAAGCACAGGGACGGCAGGGAGCTCAGGCTCAGGGATGGCTGGCGACAAAAGGCAGAAAATAACAGGCGCAAAGCGCGAAGCGCGCACGGGAGGGTACGCCCGACGCTACTTGCAGTATTCGACAAGCCGCGAAATCGATCTCACGAAGGACGGCCAGGCGGCGGTGGGGCAAGGGAAGGCGAGCGCACTTACCCGTGGATGGTGAGCAGCATCTTGGCGCGGCCCTGCATGTCGCCCACGGCGTCCCTGGCCACCTTGGTGTTGTTCTTGGGGATCTCGTTGCGCCCGAACAGGTTCGCAGACACGACCACTGGGGCTGCAGAGAGAATCAAAGGCAGCAGAGGCGACAACAGACAAAACACGGGTCAATACCAGGCGCGGATGGTGGCATTGTGAGCTGGAACTGACGAGACCTGAGCGGCTACTAGACCAGCGCAACGAGCGGATTGGACGGGTGCAAGAGAGAAGCTCACCATAACTGCCTGCGTAGACAGTTGCCACAAGAAGTGACAAAGCAGCTGCACATCAAGCAATCGCACGAAAAGGAAGGGGAGAGACTGTCAGTGAAGCGCTGGAACGGGAGATGGCCGACCATCCACGTCTACACTGCTAAAGCTGGCGCCGGAAAATGGATAAGTCTGGGTCACGCAAGGCGAGGCTAGAGCGCGATGAACAGACGAGACGAGACGAGAGCTTCAGGAGGAGCCTGGAGGGAAGGTGGCAGTGGGATTTACCAGCTACGAGGAGAACGTGCGAGGAGCGAACAGCCATGGTGGTCAGGCGTCTGGGGCAGAACGGGGTTGCGATGCACAGTTAAGAGTGTCCTTGTGGAATATGTACACGCAGAGGTGAGGGCGAGGCGAGGGCGTCATGGGGGAACTGATTCCTTCCTGTGACGTGGGGACTGGAGTGACGGTTCGAGCCTCAGGGGAACAGTGCTAAAGACGGCTGCGGCTCGATGAACGCGCTTCCAGTTTCGAACGGTGCTGCAGCAGTCAAATGTGATGTTAGGGAGATCAAGTCTCGAGTATGCCGCAATGGGGCTCGGACCTCATAGAACCGTGCTGCGTGCAGAACACGGAGGGCAGAGATGTTGTCCACAACGGAGGTCGGTCGAAAATTGGTCTGATCCTCGGCAGTGCAGGGAGAGAAATTCTCTTGCCGCACTGAACCGAGCCGCAAGTATGACTAGGTAGTCTCGAATTTCGAAATCCAGGCCGTATGATGTCTGCAGGTCATCAGCTTCCTCCTCCCGCAACGGACATCTGCCGTGGTCCGGGCAGAGATGGGAGCTCCAAAACGTGGCAAGTGCAAGCGAAAAGCAGTTGTTCTGGGAATGCACGCCAAATGTCTGTGATTAGAGAAAGGCAATTATGCGCGAATAACTGCTGTTTCTGAAGTATACAACCTGGCTAGGCATTCATTGAGCACAATACTTGGTTTACTGCTGAGACAACGGTTCAGGGTAAAACACCTTTCGATACATCGGTCTGCGGGCGGGATTCACCCAGAGGGAGAGCTCATGTCAGTGTGCTGGACATTGACAGCCGGAGCGCATCCTTGCTTTCAGCTGGTTGTCAAGTTTAAACATAAAGCGTTTGTGACATGCACTCCACATTATATTTGCATTTCACAAGAGTCCAAAATGGGAGTGTTAAACTTTCAGTGTTTTTATGCAATAAGATAAGAAATTAATATCAAATATTCAATGTATATGTAATAAGAAAAGTTGGTGAATATTTTCTGATGGAAACAAATCCCAATACTAGATGCATCACTCTTTTTGTTATAATAAGATTTTTTGCTTGGTTCATGTCTCCAAGACAATTTAAAGCCTCCAAAATAATCATCTAACCTGCTAAAGTGATTTTCGTGAAACCTGCTGTTAGCGCCTATAAGGTGGGATTCTTGTGCTACAGCTCATGTTACAAACTATCCGCAGTGGGCCTTGGGGATCATCACAATGAACCCGCCCCTGGGCGTCTCCCTGCTGAGGTGCATTGCGTTGCCATGGCCGCCAAACATCAATGCGAAGCGCTCGCACCTCATGATATCAACCCCCTCTCAAGTTTCACCCGCCTACCAGCAGCACAGAGCGCCTGGAGGTTGCCTCAGCCCTGGTCTCTTCAGGGCAATTCTCCGTCTGAGCGCGAAGCGGCGGTTTCTTTTTCTACAAGTCAGCTTGAGATCCTTTGTGCGTGCTGTCTTGCTGGTGACCACTGCTGAACCACTCCACCCATCTACCACAGCCGCAGCCTTTTCTTGAAGCTACCATGGCCGCCGCTGCTCCGGCTTTCCCGGCGCGTGATCTGTTTGTGGCCGGCAAGTGGACGGCCCCTTGCAAGGCTGGCCGGCTGCCAGTCGTCAATCCCGCCACGGAGGAAACTATCGGTACGTGGGCGCGCTTGCGCCTACGGGTCATTTCTCTCTCGCCGAATTTGATTTCCCTTCCGCGAATCGCGATCCCTAGTCCGGTCGCACCGCCTCTCGCACGGGAGCCGATTCCACGTCGCCCTCAAGCGGCGTCGCCAGCTGCGTCGCCAGCACTCCCTTCACATCGCAGGCCGTGCGATCCCGTCCGCAGGCACAACACGACTGCGCGCAAAGGCGTGCACTTGTCAGCGCATGAAACAAGCTTGTCAGCAGACCCTAACGCACCCTGTCTTCCGAATTCCCCCCTTCCCGGCTCTCCCACTCTCGCGCGCGGCCGCCAGGCACGATCCCCGCGGCAACAGCGGAGGACGTGGATGTGGCGGTGCAGGCGGCGAGAGGCGCGTTCCGGCGGAACGGCGGGGGCGACTGGCCCAAGACGACGGGCAGCTACCGCGCGCAGTTCCTTAAAGCCATCGCCGCCCAGGTGGGTGGCCGATTGAAGAAGGGGGGGTAGGGGAAGGGGGCTGGATGTGGGGGAGAGCATGGGATGAGCGGAGGAGGGCTAATAAAGTAGGATAAGGGTAGCCGGTGAGGATCTACTCTCAGCAATGTTTTCCGCCGTGCACTTTGTTGATGGATTGGCTCATGCCGTGCCGTGCGCTCAAGGATGCTGTGCGCGGCTTGGTGCTTCCTTGTGTGCGCGCGCGGGTGTGCAGGTGGTGGAGCGCAAGGGCGAGCTGGCGCGCATGGAGGCCATGGACTGCGGCAAGCCGCTGGACGAGGCCGCATGGGACATGGTGGGTGCCTGCCGTCGCACGTGCTGGGGCGATTGTGGGACGGCAGGGGAAGATGCCCGAGCCGGCTTTGTGCCGGCCAGCCTACCTCTCTCCCAGCTCGTCTTCGCTTCCTCCTATCAATCGCTCCTTCGCCATCCCTCCCTCCATCCCGCTTCGCCTTCGCCCCTGCCTTTTCTCTATTTTTACATACCAACCACCGCGCTTCACGCCTGCTGTCCCTCCCCGTGCTCTCCCCCGCGCCTTGCGTGCGCGCGCCGGCCAGGACGACGTGGCGGGGTGCTTTGAGTACTACGCGGGGCTGGCGGAGCAGCTGGACGCGGAGCAGGGCGCGCCGCTGCAGGTGCCCATGGAGCAGTTCGCCTGCCGCATCCGCAAGGAGCCCATCGGGGTCGTCGGGCTCATCACGCCCTGGTCAGTGCCCTGCCCCGCACACGCTGCTTCAGTGCCGCCTATCGATGCCACCTGTAGGCTCGCATGCTTGCTTCTGGGCACACACATGCCTGCAAATTTGCCTATAGGCGAGCGAGGCGCGCATGTGTGTTCTTCCTGCATGCGGCGTATTGGCTTTTGCCATGGACTCGCATCATCTTCTCCTCATGGCGTGGCGTGGCGTGGCATGGCATGGCGTGGCGTGGCATGGCATGGCATGGCATGGCATGGCATGGCATGGCATGGCATGTCATGGCAGGAACTACCCAATGCTGATGGCGGCATGGAAGGTGGCGCCAGCACTGGCAGCAGGCTGCACTGTGGTTCTCAAACCGTCCGAGCTCGCCTCCCTGTATGCCTCCCTCCCTCCTCACTTCCCGCTTCACCTGCTCTCCCCTGTCACCTCACCTGATCTCTCCTTGCCATTGCCACCATTGACTTGCTCCACTTGCCTTGTCCTCCCGCTCATCACACCATGGCATGCTGCGCGCCGCCCCTCCAATCATCATTTTCCCCACCGGATCTTCCGTCATGCCGCTCCACGTGCGCTGCCCTCGCCCCCCATCGCACCCCCATCCACTGTGGCTCCTGCCACCCTCTCCCCCTCCTTCCCTCCCCTCCCCCTCCCCCCCCCACCTCTCCAGCACGTGTCTGGAGCTGGGCGCCATAGCGGCGGCGGTGCAGCTGCCAGCGGGCGTGCTGAACGTGGTCACGGGCCTGGGCGAGCACGCCGGCGCTGCTCTCACCGCGCACAAGGGGCTCGATAAGGTGGGGGGGAAGGGGGGGTGTGAGGGTGGAAGGGTGGGCGTGAGAGGGGAAGGGGGGGTGTGAGAGGGGAAGGGTGGGTGTGAGAGGGGAAGGGGGGGTGTGAGAGGGGAAGGGGGGTGTGACGGGGGAAGGGAGGGGTGAGGGGAGGAGGTGGGTGTGAGGGGGCAAGGGGGGGGTTTGAGGGGAATTGGGCTGGAGGGGATGGGACGGATGGGTGGGTGGAGGTGTGTGGAGGGAGACAAGGAGAGGGGTCTGGGTGGGTGAGGGAGAGGGGGGTAGTGGAGATGCTGTGAAAGCAAGAGTGGGTGGGTGGTGTGGGGATGAGGACGAGGAGAAGCAATGAGAGTATGGGGAAAGCGTTGAAGGGCTGGGATGTTGTGGTGCCCAGCGTTGATGCACCCCACCCGTTTATCCTTACCAAGCCCAATTCTGCTCTGCTCCCGCCTCCCCCCTGTCACTGTATCTCCCCAACCGCCCGTCTCTCTCTCTCTGCATCTACACCCCTCTTGCGTGTCCTCCCTCCTCCTTGCCCTCTCGCATCTTGTGCTCGCCAGCGCTGGAGTGTGCTGGTGCTGGTACCGTGCATCCCGCCCAATCATGAGCCAAGCCGCCAGGCGCCCCTGCTGCCATGCCTCCTGGCCTCTGGCTCATGCAACTCCCCTCCTCTTGCATCCCTATTCCCCTCCTAAGTCTCCCACTAAACTTATTGGAGTCTGATCATGCGTGCATGCGCTTGCGCTGTTGGGTGGGAGGAGCGTGTGTGCATGGATGATCGCATGGATGATCGCATGGATGGGTCCATTGATGCTGCGAGCGTGCGCGCTGGTCGCAGATTGCGTTCACGGGCAGCAGTGCCACAGGGAAGCTCGTCCTGCGTGCAGCGTCCGAGAACCTCGTTGTATGTGCCACTCTGCAGCAGCGCACCCCATGTGCCGTCACTCTCTGTCTGACCGGCCTCGTGTGACTCTTATCCGCCGCCCAAATCCGCTTCTCCTGCTCTCCACTTCCATTCCCGTGCCCCCCTCCCGTTCTTCCCCTCCCGTTCTCCCCCTCCCGTTCTCCCCCTCCCGTTCTCCCCCTCCACACACGTTGCATGCATCTCTTGTTACCCTCTTCGCCCCATAACCTTGTCCCCCTACCGTCTTCCCCACCACCCACTTTCCTGCCGCTCGTCCTCCCGCCCTGCTTGTTGCCCCTGGTGCGCATGTGTGTGCATGCGTGCACATGTGTGTGCATGCGTGCACATGTGTGTGCATGCGTGTCCATGTGTGTCTGTGCATGTCTGTGCATGTGCGTGCACGTGCATGCTTGTGCATGCATCTGTTACATGTGATGCATGTGCGTGCATGTGTGTGCATGTGTGTGCATGTGCGTGAATGTGTGTGCATGTGTGCAGCCGGTGACGGTGGAGCTGGGCGGCAAGAGTGCGCTGCTGGTGTTTGACGACGTGGACATCGACAAAGGTGCGCCCCCCCCACACACACATGCCTCTCTGCACATGGGTTTTCCGCTTCCTGCTGCACCCTTGCTGGGGGAGCTGCATGCATGCATGCGTGGGGGCACTGTGCCGTTGACTTGGTACGGTTGCTTGGTGGTGCTGGGCAGCTAAGTGGGAAAATTCGCGTTCCACGTAAATTCGCCATATGCCAGGGCCCCATTTTAAATTCGCTGGGAAATTCGTTCGGCCCGGGCAGGAAAAAATTGCCCGGGCAGGCAAAAAAACGGTTCCCGGGTATGGGGGACGTGGGGGGGTGTTAGCGCAACACTTTTAAAGCAAGAACGTTTTAGCACAAAATAAATATGGCTTTTCAAATTTCAACCTGATACATCGCCTGTCGCGTCCTCACTAGCACCCTGATCTGGGAGGTTCAACATTGCACCCCGGATTCTTGAGTGGTAAGCTAAAGTCTGTGCTTAAACTTGATCAACTATTTAAGATGCGGAGGGATTAGGTTAGCGCTACCTCTGGTAGAGTAGCGTGGAATGCGTGATAGGCTTGCGTAAGTTGTGTGGTGCGTGATGAGTAGCGTGAGATGGGTTTGGTTTGGTCTGGGTAGAGTAGCGTAAGATGCGTGATGGGTTTGGTTTTCTAGATGCGGTGGGGTTTGATGCGGTTGGGAGCTTGGGAGGGGTTGGAAGCATGTTTGGGGGGTCAAAAGTTGGAATCGCGAATTGGCGAGGCCACGGATGGCTTCGCCATGTCGTCGCGAATCACGAAGATAAGTTTGTGATTTTTGTCCGGGCTGCCCCAAAATTCCCCCCCCCCCGCTTCGCGAATTTCAGGTAAATTCGCAAACGCGAATTTACGCTTACGAATTTACACAAAACGCTGGGGGACCCTAGCGAATTTTCCCACTTAGCTGGGCAGGTGCATGCATTCATGCGTGTGTGTGTGTGTGTGTGTGTGTGTGTGTGTGTGTGTGTGTGTGTGTGTGTGTGTGTGTTTGTGTGTTGGGTGGGAGGGGGCGAGTGCAGAGACAGGGGTTCGTGTGTGTGCATGGAGGCATGGGGAGGAGACAGGGGGAGGAGTGCGGGGGTGGGAGGCATGTTGGTCGATCATTCTGCTCATTCGTCCTTTTCTTGCCAATCTCCTTCTCCTCTTCCTCTCCTTACCACCTCACTCTTCCCACTCCCTTCTTTCCCTCACCTACGTCATCCCTGCATTTTTCCTCTCCCAGCTTCTCCTCCTCTCCTCTGCTCTCCCCTCGCACTCCTCCTCCCTCCCTTTCTATGCATGCTGTTGGAGATAGGCTGCAATGTTGCACATTTGTGTGTTAGTCATTTGTCTGTTTAGGGTTAGGAATGTTTGTTAGGTTGGGTGTAGCTTTTTTATCTCCAACCTATCCCAACCCAATCCATCCCAAATCCCCACGATTTGGGAGGATTCCCTTGGGATTCCCTCCGATTTCCCTTATCCCTTCCAACCCTCTCCTATGGTTAGTACTTAAGCTTGTATGCCCTCTCCCATTTCAATAAATCAAAGTTCTGTTTCTTACACATGCTCCCTGTGCCGTTCCTTCAACTTCCCCTCACGAGTCACGCCCCTCGTCCAACCCTTTCCACCCCCCCCCCCTGTGCGCGCGCCAGCGGTGGAGTGGGCCATGTTTGGGTGCTTCTGGACCAACGGCCAGATCTGCAGCGCCACCTCGCGCCTGCTGCTGCACGTGAGCACCGCCATGAGCCCTGCCACGGCCACGGCCACTCCACTGCCCTCTGCCTGCGTGCACGGCATCGTCCCCGTTCCCACACTCTGCTCGCACCCTTCCACTCGTTTACTCTCCCTCCCTTCCCCTCCCAACCCCCCCTCTGTCTGCCTGTCCCTCTGTTTCGCATGTACTCCATCAATTCGATTTTTGAGTCGACTCAAGAATCGACTCATTACACACCCATCAATTCACATTCTGAACACCTCCTTCCTTCCACGCTCCACCCCCCACCTCGCACTCCATTCCCTCCTCTCCACTTGTACCTGCTTCCCCCCGCCCTCCCAGGAGCGCATAGCGCCGGCGTTCCTGGCGCGCCTGGCGCAGTGGTCGCAGGAGATCCGCATCTCCGACCCGCTCGAGCCCGCCTGCCGCCTTGGGCCGCTCGTCAGCCAGGCGCAGGTGCCCTGGTGGAAGCGGGGGAGGGTGCGAGGGCGGGCGGGCGGGCGGGAGGGTAGGGTAGGGTAGGGGGGAAGGGAGGAAACGGGGGGAATGGGGGGGGAGGAGGGAAGGGAATGGGGTAAGGAGGGAAAGAGAGGGGTGCAGAATGGGGTGAAGGATGGTTGGATCGAGGTGCAGGAGCACATTATTACTCTTTGCGTTTCCACTACCTACCCCCATTCTGTCCATATCGGGCCACATTTCCACCGCATCCTCCTCATTTTCTCCCTCTCCCACACCCCCCACCGACCCCCCTTCCCCCTCGCCTCCCCCGCCCCCCTGTGCGCGCCCCAGTACGACAAGGTGGTGGCGTTCATAGAGGGCGCCAAGGCGGAGGGCGCAGAGGTGCTGTGCGGGGGCAAGCGACCGCAGGTGAGGGGGGGGGATGGGGAGGCGGGGGGGAGGACGGGTAGAGGGGGAGGGCATGGCAGGTTGGACGGGGAGGCAGGTGTGAGGAGGAGGCAGATGGGGTGGGAGGCGCCTAATGGTGGAGGGTGGCAGGGGCGTGCAACTTATATGGCCCATGGTGCTCCATGCCGGTGGCCCTGGTTCATGCATCACCTGCTTTCATTCTCCTCATCCCTGCTTAGTGCCCTTCCTTCCCTGCGCTCCTTCCTCGTCAATTCCTCCTCTCCCCCCCCCTCCCCCCAGCACCTGGCGCGCGGGTACTACCTGGAGCCGACGGTGCTGCGAGTGACGCCCGGCATGCGCGTGTGGCAGGAGGAGGTGTTTGGGCCCGTGCTCGCTGTGCACACCTTCTCAGACGAGCAAGAGGCCATTTCCCTCGCCAACGACACCAGGCAAGCTGCTGCTGCTGTTTCTGCCCCTCCACAGTCCGCCCACTGCTTTTGTGTCTTCTCTCCCTCTTATTCTGCCCTGGATGGGCCTTCTCACACTTTTCTTCTCTCTGCCCGTCCTCCCGCCCGCACTGCTCTGCTGTTCCTTGTTCTCCAACGTCGATACTCCCCCTTCGTCCCGTTTCTGCCCCTCGCACTCCTCCTCACTATTTCTTGTCCCCCGAATTCCGCCTCTCCCATTGCTGCCGCCTCCCCCCATCCGCACCCGCGCATCAGCTATGGGCTGGCGGCAGCAGTGATATCAGGCGACCAGGAGAGGTGCCGCCGCGTGTCAGAGGTGAGTGCAGGGGCTCGCATGGCTTCTAGACTAGATGTGCACTGCATGCCGAATGTGCTGGCGCTGCTGCACCTTGCACCTTCCATCTTTCATCCTCCTGTGCGCATGTCACCTGCTGTGCTCTCTCCATCCAATCCTTCCTCCCACTTCTCACCCCCTTGTTCGTCTCCGCCTGTTCGCCCGCCCCATGCCGTGTGGCATGCCATGCATGCGGTGCAGGCCATGGAGTGCGGCATAGTGTGGGTGAACTGCTCGCAGCCATGCTTCTGCCAGGCGCCATGGGGCGGGAAGAAGAGGAGCGGCTTCGGCAGGGAGCTGGGGAAGTGGTGAGTGGCAAGCGGGGCAGTGGGGCAAGCACTGCAGGCATACGGTGAGTTGAGCAGGCGTGGCTTGCCACTCCCGGTCGTGTGCACAGACAAGGCTTATGGGGTTCTTGAGGTGCAGAAATGTAGCTGTGCACAGCCTTAGCCAAGCAGCATGCCACATCTTGAGCCTGTACGGTGAAGTAGGAAGGCATCGCCTGCAATTTCCGTGTTCACCATCCCATGAACGCCGCTCTCTCTCTCCCTCACGCCTTATGCTGCGTGCCTGCTCAGCCTCGCCACCACATCAACCCACCCTCCCCCCCCCGCGCCACGTTGCGTTGCGTGCCTCCCTTACCCCAGGGGTCTGGACAACTACCTGTCGGTGAAGCAGGTGACGCAGTACGTGTCCAGCGACCCCTGGAACTGGTACCCTGCGCCCTCCAAGCTCTGACCATGTCTCGCTCACGCCACAGAGACTTGGGCATGTTCTTCAGCCTATTCGAATAAGCCGAAACTTTGTGCTGCTGATTGGTTCATCTCACAATAAATGTTGCCACGCAATGCCAAGCAATTGTACAGGTGGTACCATGTATCATTGTTATCCTCTCGAGCTTGCATGCGAGCTTTGAGCGTGCCTTCATCACACTCTGTCAAACCATGTTGAAGACCTCCGTGAACACTTGTGACGTTGGGTGTGCAGTGTTCTGCATGCATACCTGCAAACAATCGTTTGATGCACTTTGACCTCAATTGCAGAAAGTCCTCTAGCGAGAACAAACTGTCCTCGTCTTACCTCCAGCACTTACCCCCATCGCCATCCCCGAAGCCGCTCCCACAGCCCTCGCCGTTCCCGCCGCCACTCACACCGCCACCAGCCCCTCCGTCCTTCCCGCCGCCCCACCCGCCACTTTCGTCGTTTCCCATCGCCGCTGTTTCCCACCACACTGCGGCGCGCATCCCCTCTTCCGCGCGCGTCACCTCCGCGCTGTTACCGCTCACCGCAACGGATTCCGCTGGGAGTGCGCGTCATACTTGCGGCTCGTCTGCTCATGTCGCGACAAGCTTTCCTTCTCCGCGTCGCCTCGAGGGCCGCCACCCGATCCGTATCGAATCCGATCCGATTCGATGCAACATGCGGCCCGTCCGTGTCTGGAACTCGGGGGGTAATCGGTGCCGTTGATCGCCTTGGCGACTCTTGTACCGAGCGAATCAGCAGATGCCACGTGGAGGGTGGCGTCAGCACCGCAACGATATCCCGCGTGTCCCCGCATACCCTCCCCGTCCCCGTGTCCCATCTCCTTTTCCCGCACTGCCTCTCCCCTCCATCCCGCGCGCTGACGTCGTCCGCCGCACCAGGCGCGCGGGGGGAAGCGCCAGGGCAGGAGGATGTGCCTGGGGTGGCGCAAGCGGAGGAGTTCGATGTGGCGGAGGGGGAGGGGGAGGGGCATTTGACAGGCTCGACCCCGCGGGTTGCGCCTTTACCCGACGACCTCACAGCCGCGCAGGTGGCGGCGCTTAGCGCGGAAGGCGGGAAGAAGGCGGAGACGGCGGCGGTGGAAGGGGCAGAGGGGGGCATTCCGCTGCCGTGCTTCGTGGGCGAGGGGCTGGAGGAGCGGCGGAAGGGGAAGAAGGGGAGCTCCGCGGGAGTGGAGTTGTTGAGCCTGGCAGAAGCAATCAAGAGAGTCAAGGTGGGGCCCTTCGTCGCCCTTCGTCGCCCTCCGTCGCCCTCCGTCGCCGTCCGTCCCCTCCGTCCTCCTCTAGCCGGCCTCGCCCCCTTGCTGCTCCGCATTGCGCGCGCTCTTCCCCCACCCACGTCCTGCCTTTCCCTTGTCAGCTGGCGCTCTGCGTTCTGCCCCATGCACGACCGCTCACCTATGCCCCCTCCCCACCTTCGTCTCCCACCCTGTCCTCCTCCCCCGGCCCCCCTGCTCCGCACTGCCCCCTTTCTCTGTGCGCCTCTCCCTGCGCCTGCCTGCCTGTTGCCCTTCCCATGCGCAACCTCCGTGCGCGCGTGGCAGGAGGGCGCGAGGGCCAAGTTCGACGAGACGGTGGAGGTGCACGTGCGGCTGGGGATCGACCCCAAGCGCAGCGACCAGGTCCGCCCACCCACCCTCCCAAGCCACCCTCACCTTCGCTTCCTCGCCTCTGCCCTCTCTGCCCCCCGCTGCTCGTCGCCGCGCGTTTCCTCTTCTCCTCCCCCTTCCTCCCCCCTCCCCGCCCTTTTCCTGGCTTATCCCCCGCATTCGTCCCCCAAGCCACAACACCCAATCTATGCCCCGCCTGTCCCCTCCCCCCTGTCCCCCCAGATGGTGCGCGGGTCAGCGCAGCTTCCCAGAGGCACGGGCAAGGTCAGCGCACTCCCTCTCCCCCTCCCCCCTTCCGCCTCCCCCTATTCCCTGTCCGTCCTTCTCGTCTCCTCCTGTTGACTGCGCCTTGACTCATCGCTCCGTCGACTCTCGTCATCCGTCTCCCTGTTATTTAAGCAAGCCCCTCATCTGCGCCTTGACAGGGTCACGCCTCTCCTTGCACTGCCAACCTTGCTCGTCTCCCCCATGTCTCTCGCCCACTCCCCTCGCCCTGGCTCTCCCCCCCAGTCGGTGCGTGTGGCGGTGTTTGCGGAGGGGGACGAGGCGGAGGCGGCAGCAGCAGCGGGGGCGGATGTGGTGGGGGCGGCTGACCTCATAGCGCAGGTCAAAGCCAGTACGTGCTGCTGATGGCCCTGTGAATCACTCACCCCTTCCTCAACAGCCATATGCCCACTCCCATGCCATACCCCCTTTCACATGATGTACCACCACTCCCATGCCATACTCGCTCGCCCATGCACATCGGATCGATGATGAATGAATTGCAGTGCACAATAGCACAGCAGTCATGCCAAACAGCGCTGCCCTGCCCCTCATGGGTTCAACCCACTTCCCCCCCATGATGGCGTGATGGCATGGTGGCATGAGGGTGTGATCGCATGTTGGCATCATATCGTGATGTCATGATGGTGTGATGGCATGTCGGCATTATGCCATGATGGTGTGGTGGCATGTCGGCATTATGCCATGATGGCGCAATTGTCTGCTGCTGTGCTGGCAGGTGGCGGCAAGTTGGATTTCGACAAGTGCATAGCCACTCCGGCGCTCATGCCCAAGCTGGGGCAGGTAAGCCCCCGCACCCTCTTACTCGTCACACCCATGCATGCCACACGCAAGTTCTCATGTACCTCCATCCATGCCGACATTCATGCGTTCATGCATGCACGCACGTCCTCTGACTCCATCTCTCTCCCCTGCCCCCCCCACTTTGCCCTGTCCCTTCAGATCGCCCGCATCCTTGGACCTCGTGGCCTCATGCCCAACCCCAAGGTATGCCGCCCACAGAGAGGCCTGCCTCCTCATGGTAACCACCGCAGCATCTGAAGGCAACTTGCGCGTGAAATGCAGCACGTGTTTACAGCGCTTATTTTACAGCCCATATTTATTCTACAGGCAACCTGCCAACACGTATTTTACAGCCCATATTTATTCTACAGGCAACCTGCCAGCACTTATTTTACAGCTCATATTTATTCTACAGGCAACCTGCTAGCACGTATTTGACAGCCCATATTTATTCTACAGGCAACCTGCCAGCACGTATTTGACAGCCCATATTTATTCTACAGGCAACCTGCCAGCACTTATTTTACAGCTCATATTTATTCTACAGGCAACCTGCCAGCACTTATTTTACAGCTCATATTTATTCTACAGGCAACCTGCCAGCACTTATTTTACAGCTCATATTTATTCTGCAGGCAACCTGCTAGCACTTCTTTTACAGCTCATATCTATTCTGCAGGCAAGCTGCCAGCACTTCTTTTACAGCTCATATCTATTCTGCAGGCAAGCTGCCAGCACTTCTTTTACAGCCCATGTGAATCAGCACACAGTGAAACCAGCACATGGTCATGACGTACAGCTAGAGGCTGTTTGTAGCCTGCTCACTGGCTCAACCGTGGCTGTCGGCTCCTTCAAATGTGTTGTGGGCATGGTGTGTGCATGGATGGCATGTTCTGTGCACGGTGTTTGCACGCATTCGCACGTTACGATGCATGGTGCTTGGTGCATGGTGCATGGTGCTTGGTGCATGGTGCATGGTGCTTGGTGCATGGTGCTTGATGCATGGTGCTTGGTGCATGGTGCATGGTTCATGGTGCATGGTGCATGGTTCATGGTTCATGGTGCTTGGTGCATGGTGCATGCATGGCATGGGGTGTGCAGATGGGCACGGTGACAGTGCATGTGGCGGAGGCAGTGAGGGCGGCCAAAAGGGGCAAGGCGGACTTCAAGACGGATAAGACGGCCAACGTGCACGTGGGGATAGGCAAGGTGCGTGGGCCCTGTCCTCCACTGCTCCTCATTCTCGTCTTCACATGCACCGGTGCATGTCATTCGTACGAGCTCTTCAACCTCAATCCATGCTTCCTAATGGACTCATCCCATGCTCCTCTCGCCCCCCTGCCCCCTCTCCCCCCCTCCCACCTCCAGGTGAGCTTCCCAGACGAGGCTTTGGCGGAGAACGCAGCGGCGTTTGCAGCGGCACTGCTGGCAGCCAAGCCCGTGGGGCTCAAGAAGAGTGAGTGCCACCCGCACGCACCTGCATGGCACCCGCATGGCACCACCGCTTGCACTCTCGCTGCTCTCAGGGCAGACTGCTTCAACAATCCTTGGTCTTGTCTCACGTCACCATCGGTTGCTGTCCCACTCATTTCCTCTTATCCCCCACCCCCCGCCCCTATGCATACCTCCCTGTGTGCCACTGTGCGTGGCGCTGTGTGCGTGTGTGTGTGTGAGCGTGTGTGTATGTGTGTGTGTGTGTGTGTGTGCGTGTGAGTGTGTGCGTGTGCATGTGAGTGTGTGTGTGTGTGCGCGTGCGCGCGGGCGTGTGTGTGTGAGTGCAGGCTCGCGGTTCTTTGGCTACTTCAGCAGCTTCACTCTCTCCTCCACTGTGAGCGCTGCTGCACTCACTGCTCCCTACCAACCCCCCTCCTGATCCACTGTCCCTGTCCAATTCTCGTTTCACCGCCCCCTTCATCTTCTTCCCTTCACGCCTTTCTTACCTGCAAGCCATGCGCCATGGCAGTGACATGTACTCTCTACATTGTCTGCCCATGGTGCAGATGGGCAAAGGTGTGCGAGTCACCGTTCCTTCAATAGCAGCAGCTGCTGATGGCTTTATCAAGTCTGGCGGGGTGTAGACTAATTAGAATATTTGGCGCCATGGAGAGTGCGTCGTAGCTAAAATCTTATTTGCATAGTTGACTAGACATTTGTAGTGCTCAAGGCATGTAAGCTTTTGAGCGTCTGCAACGTGACATTCATTCAGCAGCTCTTTACTGTTCGGTGCTACTGGCAGTAATGAGGACGCCACAATCTGCAGTTCCTTACCTGACTTGCTTGCGACACTCGCCTTGCGTCACTTGCGCTCTCTCGCTTCCGTTCCACCTACACACCCCGCCTTCTGCCGAGCCATGTCGGGTCGTGAGCCGCGCCGTCAGCGCCGGCCGCTGGACGACGAGGCCGTGCCGTTCCCCGACGACGATTCCGCCTCCCGCCACGCCGACGCCGCTCCGCGCACTCCGCTCACGCAGGCGGGCGAGCTGCAGGCGCTCGCCGTGGGCGCGGCGATGACGGTCGGCGCGCTGTGGCTGCTGCGCTCCTTCGACCTCCTCTAGAGCTCCGTTTTTCGTCGCCATATCCGCACATTTCGTAACGGTCGCAACGCACCTTCTCTCGCGCATAGTTGTAGGATCTCGCCTCTAGTGTATAGCTCGCTCGGACAGCAGTAGGTGTTTCTTGAGAATTCCAAAAAACACCCACAGCGCGGAGAGCAGCATCGGCATCGGACTCGGGGTGAGGCGACTCGGCGCCGCCATGCGCCTGCAGGGCAAGGTCGCCTTCATCACGGGGGCGGCGAGGGGCATTGGCGCGGCGTGCGCGCGCAAGTTCGTGGCGGAGGGCGCAAGGGTGGCGATTGCTGACGTGTTGGAAGAGGAAGGGCGCCAGCTGGCTGCTGAGCTGGCTGCCGCTGATTCGGCGCAAACGGGGAGGAGAGATGGGTCTGAGGGGGAGGTTCCCGCGGAAGGGAAGAAGGGGGAGGGTGGGCGCGCGGAGGCGGGTGGGGAAGGGGGAGCAGGCTGTGAGGGTGACGGAGGCGGAGCAGAGAGCATACCGCGCGCCGTCTTTGTGAGGTAGTGTAAGAAGGGGGGAGTTATGCGGGTGGGGAAGGGTCGGGGGGAACGTGTGTGCGGGCTTGGAGAGGAGCGCAAGGGGCGCAAGGACGGAGCGAGCAGCAGCAGCAGAGTGAGTCGCGGCCTTTGCCCGTGCTGCTGCGTTACCAGCGCATGTGGGCGCCCTGCACGCGCCCTGCGTCATTCCCCCCCCCCATCACGTTCGTCTCCCCTTCCCTCACCCTGCCGTCCCCTCGCCTACCCCTGTCGCCCCTGTCTTCCCCCAGCTGTGACGTGCGCGAGCGTGACTCCATCGCGTCCGCGCTCGCCCTGGCGGCGTCCTCCCTCTCCCCCGGCAGCGGCGCGCTGCACGTGCTGGTGAACAATGCGGCGCTGCAGTGCTGCAAGAGCCTGCCCGACACGGCGCCCCACGACTGGGACGCCGTCATCTCCGCCTCGCTCTCCTCCGTCTTCCACGCCACCCAGCTCGCCCTGCCGTACCTGCGGCGCGCGCAGGGCGGTGCGGCAGTTGTGAACGTGTCGTCTTCGTTCGCGCTGGTGGGGTCGCCGGGGTACGCCGCGTACCACGCCGCCAAGGGCGGGGTGTCGTCGGTGACGCGCGCGGCGGCGCTGGGGCTGGTGGGGGAGGGGATCAGGGTGAACGCGGTGTGCCCGGGGACCACGCTCACGCCGGGGCTGCAAGAGGTGCGCGGGGCGGGCGTGGAAGGGAGGGGATGGCTCTGCGCGGCCAACAAGGCTTGTGTGCCGTGCCGGTGGCGGTGTGGCGGCGGGTGCCATGATGCAACGCCATGTGCGTGTGCCAGTGACTGAGTGCGCCCTGGCATTGCCTCACGCGCTCTCTCTTCCTCCCTCCTCCCTGCCCCATTCCTCCCACGCCCCTTCAGAGCGTGGCACAGCAGTGCCCGGACCCATCGGATGCGCGGTGTCTCATGGACTCGTTCCTCGCCAAGCAGCCCCTCGGCAGGTGCGCCCCCATGCCCCGCTCCATGCACCGCACCCCCCCTCCATCCTTGTGTCACCTCCTCTCACTTTCCTCTCTTTCGCACTGCAGCCCCCTTCCCTTACTCACGGCCTCTCCCCCTCGCCGCCCTCTCGCCCCCCCCCCCCCCCCCCAGGTTTGGGAGGGCTGAGGAGGTAGCGAACGTGGTGGCGTTTGTGGCGAGCGATGAGGCGAGCTTCATGGTGGGGGCCAACGTGGTCGTGGATGGGGGGTACACCGCCATATGACATGGCGGGTGGGGGGAGGGGTTACAGCAGCGCGCGAGGGGAGGGGGTTGTGGGGGATGAGGGGTACACTGTGGTGAGGGGGTGGTGCTAGTGGTGGCTGGGAGGCGTTGGCATTGGAGGAGTGTCCCAGGGCAGCATGTGTTGCCATTGGTGGGACAGGGATGGGTGGGTGGGTGGATGGATGGGAGTTGGATGGTTGTGTGGCAGCTGGACTATCATGTGCCATTACCAGTATTTGTCCGAGGCAGCTCAATATTTGGATTCTCCTGTGGGTATTTTCTTTGGTGACATGGCATGGTGTAATCCAAAGCAACTAATGTAGTGCCAGGCTGTGACGTCAGTAATGTTTGGCCTAAGCTAAACAAACTATTCACCACACGCTACCTACTTGCTCCTACTAGTATTGTCCTACCAACCACCTATAGAATCCCCTTGCAAAAATACAATTACAGACTTGGAACAAATGCCAGGGTGGTGGTGAGGCCACCACTGCCGAGCTCAAGGCACTTGGCATCGCACCCTGAATCGTAGCAGTAAGTTGCAGCATTGTTGACCCCTTGCCTCCTCCCTCCCTCCCTCCCTCCCTCCCTCCTTCCCCATCTACAGCAATCCCGCACCCCACAATATGGCGTTCAAATCACACCCATCATGCGCCACCGCTAAGCACGCCAACCACGCTACTCCTTCCCCTCTCCCTGTCCACATCACCACTCCCCTCCTTTCCCCACCCACTCATTGCCCCCCCCCCCCCCCCTGTCATCAGCTAGTGGGCAGATTAGCGAGGGCCTTCTTGGCCACCATGGCCAGCAGGCGGTGCACCTGCTTGGGGTCGCGCACCGACGGCTTGCCGGCGGCGGTGCGCCCCATGGGCCCCGCGCGCCCCTCTGCCAAGGTGAGGTAGTACGCCAGCCCGCACGCGTCCGCAAGCTGGTGGAATATCGCCTCGCCGTCGCGCCGCGGCCGGATCTCCAACACCGCGCCGCCTGCCGTTGGGAGGGGGCGCGGGTGGGGGGACGGGATTGGGTATAGAGGGTGGTTGAGAGGGGTTGAGTACAGGCAGCAGCAGTTCGCAGTGACCAAGGCCTAGACAAAGGCGGAGTAGAGCCTCAACTCAACCTGGAGTCGTTATCAGGATCTATGAGCACGTGAAATGGAACGCGCGGATCATGAGCATGACATGCATTGCTTCCACCACCATCCATGCCACTCCCCCCACCCCGCACCTGCCAGCCACTTCCCCCACCTCTCCCTGTGGCTCACCGGGCGGCATGAAGACCATGTCAGCGAGGATGTTCCCATGCACGGCGACGAGCACGCGCGCGCGGTTGAGCAGCGCCTTGCGCGCGGTGAAGGAGAGCGAGCCCTCCTTGTAGAGCACGATGCGCTGCGCCGGCACGTACTTGAGCATCTGCTGCTGCAGCTTTAGCGTCTCCACCAGCGGCTTGCGCTCGTCGCGCACGCCCAGCACCACCACCCAGTCCGCGCCCACGCCCGTCACCTTCTCCGCCTTCCACTTGCGGAACGTCGATCGGAACTCCGCATCTGACATGGCGCATGGTGGGGGGGGAGAGGGGGGGGGAGGAAGAAGGAGAGTGGGGATAGGGGAACGGGGAGGACGGGAGGGGGGTTGGAGAAAGGAGAATGGAAAAGTGCTTCACCGGCATGAAAAGAGGACGGAGGAGGAGGGGGAAGGTATGCAGGGAAGAAGGCAGAAGAGGGGGTTGTGGGGAAGAGGCAAGCGATACAGGAAAGGGTTCAGGTTCCCCGAGGGATAAAGAAGGGTTTCGGTTGGAAGAGGGGGGTGGGGAGACAGTCAGTACTGAGGAGGGTCTGGGAGAGGGCAAGAGGGGAGAGAGAGCGGGTCAGGAGAATATAGAGGGGATAGAGGCGGACACAAGGGGATCGAGTTGGGTGGTTTGGCAGGGGCAGGATGGAACGACAAGATGGGGTACCCCCTTCGCCACCCCTCCCTCGCCACCCCTCCTCGCCTCATTCCCTCCAAGCCTAGCCCTTCCCTCTCTGTCTCCCCACGCCCCCCCCCTTCCTCTCCCTCTCCCCACAAAACGACCCCATCCCCCCCCCTCCCTCTATGTTGGAATATACGCACAGAAGGCTTTGCGTATTGCGTATATACGCTTGCGAATATACGCAATACGCTGATACGCTTGGAATACGCGATACGCGATACCCGGGCTGCCCGGCGAAAAAAAAAACTTATATTTTTTTTTTCCGCGACTTCGCGACGTCGCGGTTTTTTCGCCCATTCTTTTTTGCCCATAGCCCAGCCTGCTCTGTACGTGATTGAAAGCCATCCCGTGTTTGCCGTTCCCCATTTCCGTCCAAATCTCAGCTCTGAAGCGAAACGGTGGTGTGCTTAGCTAGGTGGCGGCGATTGCGCGAGTTACGGTGCTTGTTAGTCTTCTACCAAAGTGATGGGGGAGATGATGGGGGGGAGAGTCGAGCATTTGTGAGGAAAGGTTGGAGTTTGTAGATGGGTGGGAGTTCAGTGCGGTGAAAGGGAGGGAGTTGGTTGGCTGGAAGCCAATTTGACTTTGTAGACGGGGGGGTTGAGTGCGGTGAAAGGGAGGGAATTGGCAGGTCAAAATTCGACCCCTCAGAAAATGCCTCTCATTTGAGAGTCACGTTTTCAGAAACCCTAGCCTAGCCGCTACCATCATGGCTTCCTTGCTGCCCCCTGGTTTTGTTACCCTGCCCGGGCAAACCTTTTTTCCTGCCCGGGCATGCGTATTCCTGCCGTATTGGACCCCAAATCCAAGCGTATAGCGTATATACGCAAGCGTATATACGCTAGCGTATAAAACGCAGTACGCGTATTTTCCAACATAGCCCTCCCTCCTCTTGTATCCGTGACGAACGTGCATGTGGGTGCACACTGCACACAGGGCGCTCACCGTGGCGGTACATGGGCAGCCCCGCCTTGGGCAGCAGGTGCCGCGACCGCAGATAGCCCCACACCGCCTTGCTCGGCCGCCCACACCGCTGCCGCAACGGCTGGGGGGGGGAAGAGGGGGAGAGGGGGGGAGAAGAGAGATAAGAGGAGATGGGACGAGGAAAAGGGTGGGCGAAGAGGGAAGGAGAGGGGAGGAGTGGGAGGGAGTGGTTGAGGTAGCAAGGGAAGTGGTGCGTAGAGGCAGCTAGGTGGTGTGGCAAGGGCAGCTGGGGATTGGGAGAGCTGCAGTTGGCCCTGCTGCCGGGCAACTAGCACTGCTGCTGATGGGGAAGCATGACCAAGGGATAGGAGGGGGATAGAGGGGAGACTAGGGGGGGAGGAGCGGAGACTAGGGGGAGAGGGGAGAGGAGGGGGAGAGGGGGGGGGGGAGGGAGGGAGGAGGGGAGACTAGGGGGAGAGGGGAGAGGAGGGGGAGAGGGGGGGGGGGAGGGAGGGAGGAGGGGAGACTAGGGGGAGAGGGGAGAGGAGGGGGCGAGGAAGGAGGATGGGAGAGTGGTACAATCAAGGCGGCGCAGATGGGGCGCACTGATAGGCAGGTCAGGATATGGTCTCGAGCAGCGGCATAAGTGGGGGGGGTTTAGGGTTTTCCCCTAAAGCTAAATTACCACGGAGCTGGTATAAAACCCTTCCCTCTTCGCGCTCTGCTGCGGCACGTCCCCAACGATGCTCAACCTCGAACCTTGCCATGGCGTGGTTATGATTCTTGCATACTTTTCGTGATGGTTCCTTTTCGTGATGGCTCCTTTTACCCATAACTCTTGCCCAAATGCTGCATTCAAATGAATGCCAAAAACCTTCCTTCCCTACCACACTTGGTTGGCTACAGTCAACAACGCCTTCACCAGCACCTTACCGCGCCCCCTCGCACAATCCCCCACTCCCCCCATTCCATCCGCCCACCACAGCATCCCTCGTCACACGGCCCCCCGCCCCCCTGCCCCGACTGACGAGCACGAGGCGGTCGGCGAAGAAGAGGTCGCCCTCCTTGAGCACGTGCGCGTTCAGCTTCTCCAGCCGCACGCCCAGCAGCTCCGTGCTGCCGTACGCGCTCATCTGCTGCGCCTGGCTCAGCGCGTGCTGCTGCCGGTGCCCGAACGCCACGGGCACGCGCTTCATGGCGGGGAGGACAGCATCGAGGCTGACGAACATGGGCAGCACGTCCAGCAGGAACGACCGCGGGCTCCACGCGAACCAGTCCACCAGCGACACGAGGTGGCGGTAGCGGTGCACCGTGGTGGTGGGGCCGGACGCGTAGTGGAAGGGGCGGTCGGCGGCGCAGCTGTTGTCGTCGAAGAGGTGCGTGCGGTTGAACACCTGCCCCGCCACGTTCACGTACACGTTGTGCAGCACCAGCACCTGGGGGAGCAGGGGAGACGGGGGGTGGGGGGGGAAGGAAACCAACGGGAGAGTGGAGAATGGCAAGGGAGGGGGGAGAGAGGAGTGGGTGCGATGGGCTGGCGTGCATAATCTTGCGCTATCCGCGGGGCTTGAGTCGGTTCATCTCGAGTTCCTAGTTCCGTACTGGGATTGCTTGCCACTGTTGGTTACCGCGCACTCACCCGTGCCACCTACCCGTGCGTGTGCCACGCTCACCTGCGCGGACCACTGTTCGTGCGGCTGGAAGTCCATGTCCTGCACGCAGCTGGGTTTCAGGCTCGCGCAGTTCACGGGCTGCGACGCCGGCACCTGCACCACGTCCTCCAGCGGCGGCCCGTGCCAGCACGACGCGATTCCCGGGTAGTTCTCGTACGAGTGCTCGAATTCCGGGCACAGCGTGCCACGTGTCACCTCCAGAGGCGGATCCACTTTATCCGCGCCTTCCTTCCCGAACCGCGTCGCATCGAGAAACACGTGCTTCATGGACTTGCGAGATAACGTCACCATAAGGGGCCGGTGCTTGGGTTTCCCCAGATCTATAACGAAGGACCCATTAACGGGACCCCATTTGGCGTTCGGCCCCACCCGCGGGGGCTTCTCCCGCTTCTGCCGACCCGTCTCCGCGCGCTTGCCCTCCTCCGCGGTCTCTTCGTCCGCTTCCGCGCCACCTGCGGCGCCAGCAGCACCCTTCACCACCGCTGTCACGGCCTCTCCCGCTTCTTCATCCTCCGCTTCACCTCCGCTTCCTCCTCCTGCTGCTGCGGCGGCGGCGGCAGCGGCAGCAGAAGCGGCGTCTTCCAAGGCCTTAGCTGCGGACGGCTCTAGATCCGACGCCGTGGCGATGGGCCTCTCGTTCCCTCTGCCCGCGCCCATCCGCCCTCCCACTGTCGCCATTCTCGATCCTCGCGCGCTCCCCTCGTCCGCTTTCATCGGCTGCTCGTCCACCGGATCACGCGGCACGCCGAACTGCCCCTCCCCCTCGCGATCCTCGCCCGGGTCCTCCCCCCCCGACCCCCCTGTGGCTACTTCAGCCGCTGCGCTTTCCCCGTCGTCGGAACCGCTGCCCGCTGAAAGCGAAAACGACGGGATTGTTGACACGAAAGTCGCCGCCTCTTTCTCCGCCGCGCTCCCCGTGACGAATCCCGCAGGTTGCGCATCGCCTCGTAGGCTCGCGTGCCGTTGCTTGATGGACTCGATGAGCGCAGCGCCCGCGCCGCCGGATTGGTTGGTGGACGCCCACACGAGCACGCAGATGGTGGCGATCACGACGAACAGCAAGCATCCTCCGCACCGGCGGCCCGCGCCGTCTGCGCCAGGCGGCTGCTTCCGCGGGGCGCGCTGTGTAGCCCTTCTGCGGGGCTTCATCGGGATTGCTGGGAATTGGGCTAGCGCGATTCCAGAAGCGCCAGCCCGCTACGATTTGGTGGGGAATGCTAGGGTGTGGGTGGGAGGAGCTAAACCGACAAAGATCGTCCCCACATGAAACGTCAGATCGTCCAAACCAGCAGGGAAATGTGTCAAAATGGGCGTAACGGGTCTAAACGGTTCGAAACGTCGTCGGTTAAGAAACCCTGCACGGGCTACGATTCCGGGTGATTAGAAAATCCGCCATGGAGCCAATGATAATGAGTGCAGCTGATACAAGGCCCGACATCAGTTTGATGCTTTAGAATGGGGAATGACGAGATCAGGAGAGCTCCCTGGATTTGGGAGACGCGGTTAGGTGGGTAAGGTGGAGGAAAATGAGAGCAGGAGAAGCATCACGAGATTGTCAGGAGGAACATTGAGTGGCGCATGCAGGGGTTGCGTTGTGGAACAGAAGTCCCCTGGGGAAGGTTGGTGAAAGGAGCCTTCGGGCTTCAGGGCTTATAAATTTTACAAATATGGGGTCTAGAAAAATTTATGCTCGAAGGAAAGATACTTGGTAACCCACGGATGTCGTGAGGTGCCTGTATCCACACCGAATATTTCAGACCAAACCCAAACCGCACCGCGGAACGTCTGACATACCCAAGCTTGCGTTGTTCGGGTGTGTGTCTCGCTCTGCCCCTGCTCGCATATCAAAAGTCGGATTTGCAGGGTGCTGTACTGAACAGCTCTTCTGGGATTCGACATGAATACGGGAACACGCTCTTCTGCCACCTTGTTCACTTTCCCATCACCTCGCAACAGTGGTTAGAACAGATTCGTTACATTTGGCGGACGAACATCTTCAGTTACTGTACAGAAGCTGCTTTCGCGAGCTGAAGGTGTTGATTGGGAGGGGTTTGATTGAGCGAGACCTCCGTGTTGGTTCCATTGAGGGGGGGATTTGTTCGCCGAGCTGGCGTGTCGAGGCACATCTTCGTAAGAGAACCAATGGGCTGAGAGCTGACGTGGGGGCCATCGCACAGGGCGAGGGAGCAGGCAAAGTCGTGTGGTTCCCTTCCCATGTACCGCAGTACAGTAACACTCTGGACTGGAACCCACCCACACTTGCTAAATCTCGCAAGACGAGATGCAAAGATATTGCAAGTACGTATGTAACCTGAATTATGACTCACCCTAGCTTTGCTCATCAACTTAGGCATTTCGAGACACTCCCTCTAGTACAAAGGATACTTGAACGAGAAGTACTCGTTATGGTGCTATATATCTGTATTGCCAACACAGACATGTCGTGGGGCTGCTGCACTTGTCTAAAAACTCCATGAATATTTTCTTGGGCCTAAGTCCAAGCAGACCCAAGGGTTACGAAGGATGCTGAGGTGGGCCTAGCAGCTCGGCAGCAGGCCAGTGTGCCGGCAAGGATTTGGCGAGCGCATGGAATGGAGGGCGACTACTCTCTACAGTGGGGACAGGTGGTGGGTGAAACCTGGGAGGGGCGGCTGGTGGCAACGAGAGGGGAAGGGGGCATAGGACAGGTAGAGCGAGAAGCTGCGAGAGCAATGCCGCACGAGAGGACAGTGATGGAAAGGGGTCACGAGAGGGAAGAGGGCGGAGGGAGATCAGTTGGGAAAGGAGGGGAGGCAGGGGTTAGCGAGAGACGGCGGGGGGAGGGTGGGGCAGAGAGAATGGGAGGTAGAGAACGGGAGATAGAGAGCAGGGGGAGAGAGAGAGAGGCAGGGGAGGAAAGAGAGAGAGGAATAGATGTCCTGCGGTGCTTCACAGAACGTGCCCCACACCCCCCACAATGCATGCACAGTGCACACATGGCCCGGCAGTGTCATGACAATGCCACAGCTGATTTGGGCTTCCTTCCCCTGCAACCACAAGGAAGTCAGATCCAATGTGGCCAGGAAAAACAGAGAGCAGAGGGAGAGGGGGATGGGGGGAGGGGGGTCAAGGTGTGTGACGCAGCACAAGAGCACAGAGCAAGGATGGCTTCATAAGTTGCAATGGAGAGGAAGAGTGTGCGAGTGAGTGTGGAGATCATAGGAGAAGCAGGGCATGCAAGTGCAGTGGTGACGCGAGTGAACACTCGATCGAAAGGGTGAAGGGGGGCCAACTTGAAGTGCACGGCAACAACTTGAAATCTGGACCCAACGGATCAGGATTAAAAAAGGGTAAATGAACTAATGAATGACAGCAGGGCAACTAGTTTATTTGGTTTCTTCAACACGTGTCCATGAGACCTCCTCCACGATTAGAGAATCAGAGGACGCAAGATGAAGGAGAGAGTGCTCTAGGCTGGCAGGTCGTGAGGGGCATTCCAAAAAGCAGAGAGGTGAACAAGAGCGCATTGAGACCCAAGGCAATCACCCGCCCAACGGCTCCCAAAGTGGCGGAGATGTGGTGGTGACAACGCATTCAGCCAGCTGTCCATCCGTGTTCTACCACGCCAGACTTCCACCCAGTCACACACTGCCTGTGCCTGTTGCCCGTGCCTGTTGCCCGTGCCTGTTGCCCGTGCCTGTTGCCCGTGCCTGTTGCCCGTGCCTGTTGCCCGTGCCTGTTGCCCGTGCCTGTTGCCCGTGCCTGTTGCCCGTGCCTGTTGCCCGTGCCTGTTGCCCGTGCCTGCTGCCTGTGCCTGCTGCCCATGCCTGTTGCCCGTGCCTGTTGCCCGTGCCGGTTTCCCATGCCTGTTGCCCATGCCTGTTGCCCGTGCCTGTTGCCCGTGCCTGTTGCCCGTGCCTGTTGCCCGTGCCTGCTACCCGTGCCTGCTGCCCATGCCTGCTGCCCCTGCGGCTGTTACCCGTGCGGCTGTTACCCGTGCGGCTGTTACCCGTGCGCCTGTTGCCCATGCCTGTCGCCCATGCCTGTCGCCCATGCCTGTCGCCCATGCCTGTCGCCCATGCCTGTCGCCCATGCCTGTCGCCCATGCCTGTTGCCCTTGTTACTCTCCCACTGCGCCATGCCGTCTTTCTGAGCCCCTTCCCTTCAACTGCCTTCGTACAACCCACCTGCTGCGCCATCCCTTACCGCACCGCTCATCCAGCGGCACTGCAGCCATGGCACCCTCGCCTCCCTGCGCACGCATCTCCCAGCCTTTTCACCCTCCTCCTTGCCACGCCGCCCTCCCTTGAGCTGCTGCCTTGCCCCCATTGGAATTGATTCCCCCTCCCCCCCCCTCTCTTGCCCCTTGCCAGGAAAATAAAAATCAGCGACCCCCCTATATTCCCCATGTCCTTGCGCTCACCTCTTCCCCTTGACTGGCGCGGGCAGCACCACGCGGAAGCGCCGTTCGAACACGCGGTCGCTGCACCCCAGCATGGCGCGCAACGTCTCCCCCCGCCCGCCGCCCATGCCGCTCAGCGCCTCGTACCGCCGCTTGATGCGCCCGCTCAGGTTGCACGACAGCACGGCGGGCCACTCCGCAATCTCCCCCAGCCCCCTCCCCATGACCCCCGTGATGTACTCGATCTTCCCCGCCGTCTTGTCCCACTTCCGCCGCAGCAGCGACGGGTTCGCCGCCGCAATCACCGCTGCCGCCGCCTCCTTCCCCTCGAACCGCCTAATCAGCTGCACGATCGGCTCCCGAACCGCCTGGGCCGGCAGCGCGAGGACCTGCGGGCGCGCGGCAGCGACCAGCGCGGCGCTGTGGGCGCCCAAGAGCGCCTCCAGCTGCGCGTAGGTGGCTTCCGCGGTACCCGCGGGCGCGAGCAGCAGCGGCGGGAAGTGCTCGACAAGCGGAAGCACGTCGATCGCTCTCCGCAGCTTCAGCAGCCGCCGCAGCGCCTCCAGCTTCGCGGAAACGTCTGACCGCCCAAACCCCAAACCCGCCCCGGCAGCAACAACCTCCGCCCCACTCACCTCGCCGTCCGCCACCACTCTTCCGCCGATTCCCCCCAGCAGCGCGGGGTTGCGCTCGAGCGCCATGCCCACGTCCGCGCCGAGCCTGAGCTCCGTGCGGAGAAAGGCGGCGGTGTCCTCTAGGGTTTCCACGGACTGCGTCAAGACGTGCGGCGACACGGATATGACCCGCGCGAGGTTGTTCACGCCCAGGTCGCGGTCCAGGAACTGCAGCACGGCGTGCGCGTGGCTCGCGGGCGTGCCCAGCCAGTCCACGGACTGCGCTATGCCCTTGAGCATGGCGGGCGGCGTGATTCTAAACGACGCCAGCAGCACCGCCATGTCCGCGGCGGCGGCGCCCACGTCCCGGTAGATCAGCTCCGGCTGCGCGCGGAACAGGCGGACGATCTGCCCGCGCTTCGCGCCCACCGACAGCAGCGCGTGCGCGTTGGCCTTTACGGCGGCTGCCGCTGCCGCACTGTCGCTACTGCTGCTGCTGCTGCTGCTACTGCCGCTGCTGCTGCTACTGCTGGTGGCGCTGCCCAGGCCGCGCATCTCTGCCCCGAACCGATCCTCTAGAGTACTGAGCACCACATCCAGGTCGCCCTCTGGAACCTCCCTCAGCACTCCCGTGAACCCGCCATCCCCCGTCCCCCCGCCTGCTCCATCTATTTCACCGCCTTTCACGCCCTCTTCCCGCCCGCCGCCCACGCCCGCGCCCCCATCAACTACCCCCTTCCGCGCTCCCCCTCCCCCTTTCGCGCCCGCGTCTCCCGTGGGCGTGGCACCGGGGCTTGCGGAAGAGCGGGATGGAGGGGGGGAAGGGGGAAGGTGCGCAGCAACACCGTTAGACGCTGTCGCAGCTACCCTAATACGCGTGCGTCTCTTTCTGGCAGCGGTGGGAGATCCATACACGTGGCAGCATCGCAGTGAAGGTTGGACGCCCTTCAAAAAGGGTGTGCGGCGAGAGACGTTAAACCCTGAAGAGCGCGAGCTACGCGAGCCTGGTCTTTTCGTTCGGCATCGGGTTGACGAACCGGCAGTCCGGCTCAAGATCGGTGCCGTGGCGGCGCTGACTCCATCCCCACGAGCGAACCATTGACCGCGGAACGACGCAGAGCTCGCGTATCTGCAGGAGAGTCTTGAGGGAGACGAGGAGAAGGCGGTCGACCGCCATGGCGCGCAAGGATGGGAGAGGAGCAACGCATCCTGATGAACGCCTGACGTCAACGTGAGGGCGCCTGTTCTGATTGGCGGCTGCACGCAGCAACACGTGGCAGCCGTCGATTGGGAGACCAACGCAGCGGGTGTTGCAGCGGAGCAGGGAGATCGAGTCGAGGAGGACGAGGAGAAAAGGAATAGTGAGGCTAAAGTGGTTGTCGCGGAGGAGTTGGTGGCGACCACCACTCGACTAGCTGATATCGCGAAACAGCGATCGGGTCCCATGGCGGGTCATGCGCTGAGTTGCTTGTTCTATCCGGTCGATTGACAGAATGGAAGGGCGTGCGTTAGACCATCCGATCAGTGAAGCAAAGGCACGAAAACACGATGACGACGCGCAAAGCGACGCGCAAAGGTACTAAGGAGAAATAGTAAAGCAACCGTTTATCTGTAAGACCGTTCTAAGATACTGTACAAAGAAGAGCATCCAGATCCTGTGTCAGCAGCACCGGCCCACACCAAGAACAGACGGAGCAGCAGTTCGTGTCGAGTCGACCCACCTAGAATAACGAAAGCTCCCTTCTACTACTACAAAAGGAGACTCCGTTCCGTGCTGCTGAATCGCAACTGTGTCCCTGCCTCTACACCGTTTGTTTTATTTATTCAACGTTTTTTTACGCGCGGATCAAGCCTGTAAACAGATAACTGTCAAACCCGGGCAACCTGGACATTAAAGGGGAAAACCCACAGTAAAAACTATCACTCAGTTACAAATTATCGCTCATTCTCTGGATAATTTGCCTGCATGATAATTATCGAATTTTGACTGATTGTTTATTATCGTTCAGACAGCAGCCAATCAGGTTCAGTATCATTGCATCATGCTGAAAATCTGGTAGGTGGGTTTGAAGTTTTGGACTGTTCCGGATGGGAAAATAAATGGGAACACGTGAACGATGCTTCACGCTTCTTCCTCTTTCTGTATGGTCTACTGTCAAGTGTGACAGGGCAGTGAGAAACAAAAACCCCTTTTGTCAAATTTGTACTGTCTAGAACAGCAGTTAGCGCCCGAGTCTAAAATGGTAAAAAAACATGAATACTGGGCATGAAAACAGTGCCCAAAAAGCTGGGCGAAAGTAATTCCGGCAAAGTTCCCCCGACGAATACGGAATTTGGCGAAATAGCAGAACCGTGATCGCAGTACGGAATTTCATCGGCAAGAACCGAGTTCAACAGTGCATGAACAGTGTATAGGGGGGGGGGGGAAGGGGGGGAACAAACAGTGACGCGAGACCCCCAAAAAAATGCGTCCATAATGGTCGCAGGCGAAAATCAAGAATACTGAGATGAACAGTAATCGCGTGTTTGTCATTTTCAGCGGCATTTGCAAGCTGCCCCCTGTTCCCTGAGAGTTGCGACGTTCAAACGTCATTTACTACGTTACCCTCTATTGGACGAAAACAAGTTTACGATTCATGAACTTGATAGCAAACCATTCTAGACTTGGGCTTTAAGTGACTGAATGTTTGTTGCAATGCATGGAGATGGGGTGAATTAGACTTCGTGTCAAGCACGGGGTTCATGTCAAACATATTTGTGTATGTTAACTCGTAGTCACGCTGTGCTGCTCCGTGTAGCAATGCCCGAAGAGTAGTCATCTTCGGGGTCGGGACGAAGGTCTCAAAGAAGTCCACCCCCTCACGCTGACTAAAGCATGTAGCCACGTTGCGCGCCTTGAACACAGGCAACTCTCCAGGGGGGGCGCTTCACCTTTGAAGAGCCAGCGGCGGGTAGAGGCGAAGTCAGCGACCGCAGCTACAAGAGCGTCAAGACGCGAGACCGGAACAGATGGGTCGGTAACGAGAGAGGCAAGGACCCGAGGAATGAGGACGAGCGGCACGAAGGTAGTCACACAGAGGGGGAGGCGCAACAACAAGGGAAGACGGAGGACGCGACGGTAGGAGGGGAGGACGAGACGCATGGGAACGTAGCAACATACTGTAGGGTGAGAGCGCGGGACGGGGGAGCCGGGGCGAGCACAGGAGGGACGGCGAGACCAGACGGGAGACGGAGGCGTCGGGTCAGGAGACAGAGGAGGGGACACATGAGGGGAACGAGGGGGAAGACAAGCCGGAGTCGAGTCCGGGGGAGAGAACACAGGGTCGTAGACAGGAAGAGGAGAGACGGCAGGAGAGGCACAGACACGTGGTTAAGGGGCGGAAGGCCGAGCAGGCGAAGGGCTGACACCGGCGGTGACTGCTGCTGCGGCGGCACGACATCGACACCGGGACCGCAAGCTGCTCCACGGCTACCTCCATAACACTCCACTCTAGCAGCCCCAGAACGAACACCCCTAGAGCTCGAAACCCCTCCAGCACCGGTACCACCCCAAGGCTAGCACGACAGAAACGACAGGAACCCCAGGACTTGTACCCACCCCAACGCTAGCACCCCAAGAGTCAACGAACTGCTGCTGCGATGACTGTGGCGACGGCTGCGACGACGGCTGCAGCGGCTGCGGTGGCGGCGGAGGAGGAGACACCAGGGTAAGGGCAGGCGGCGAGGACTGCGCCGCAGGGCCACCAGAGTCAGCAGACTCCTCGACCGGAACAACCGACGGGAGGGGGGTGACGTGAGACACACCAGACGGGGCAGGACAGGGAGAGGGAGGGGGAGGGGCAGGGGCGACCAGGGAAAGGGGAACCAGGAACAGGGCGGGAGTAACCGGGGGACCACGGTGGGGAAAGCCGTGGTAGAAGGAGACAGACTCGTCAAAGGTGATGTCGCGGGAGTGAAAGAAACGGTGAGACGGTGGGTGGTAGAAGTGCCAGTCAGACGAGTCGAGGGGGAAACCGAGGAAGACACAAGGGACTGTGCGGGCAGTGAGCTTGTCCGTGCCAGAGGCACGAACGTGAGCAAGGCAGCCCCAGACGTGGAACGCAGACGCATCACCAGGAGACCCGGACCAAAGAAGGGTCGGCGAAACCTGCGGCTGCTGGGGGTGCGGCCACAGGTTAAGCTGGTGAGCAGCGTAGCGAACGGCGAACGGCCACAGAAAATGGGGTGCACCGGCATGGATCATGGAGGTACCAGCCACCTCCATGACCAAACCGATGCGTCGCTCAGCGACCCCATTCTGCTGCGGGGAGTCCCGCAAGGTGAACGTCTGAGTGATGCCCTCTGTACGACAGAAACGACCAAGGACACCAGAGGCATACTCGCCACCACGGTCAGAGTGGAGACGCAAGACAGGGAGACCGCGGTGGACACGCGCAGAGACAAGCCACGGGATAAGAACGTTCGGCACGTCAGCCTTCCGCTCCAGGGGAAACACCGTGGTGTAGCGAGTGTAGTCATCGAGAAGCACAAGGAAGTAGCACTCTCGACGCGGCCCATGGACGGGGGCGGGGCCCTAGACATCCATGTGCAGAGCCTGTAGCGGTGCGGCGGTGGGGGGGAATGAGGAGGACTAAGGGGCACGGCGGAGCCGACCGTCGACGTAGGGCGTGCATGGTGGCACTAGGGAGGAGGGCAACTCGGTGAACGGCCCTGGGAGACCGAGGACAAGACCGTGCTGAGACATGTAACGCAGATGCGTGAGTGCAGACTGACCTAGACGGTGGTGCCACAGGAGTGTCGGGTGAGTAAGCGACCGACACGAGCAGGCCGCAGCAATCTGAGGAGACGCAGCCACCTGAGGAGACGTCCCAACCGGGGGGGTTGCGGTGTCCAGTGTGAATAGGCCGGACACCGGGTCCTAGGGGAACGTGGTGAGGGGAGCACCAATGGCGGCCTCGGTACAGACAGCGAACCGGTCGTGACCAGGGAACGTAGTAATGACGCCAAGGTCGTGGAGGCAGCCGACACCAACTAGGTTCCTGGTGAACGAGGGGATGTGCAGGCCTGTAAGAGAGCCCGAAGGAGCTGCCGGACAGGGAAGGGAGGTGGAACTGCAGGCGACTACCGGACCGGAGGAGGGGTTGGCAAGGGAAACTGCAGCAGGAGCAGCAAGTGGCGTCAGCGTAGTGGAGTCGCGGAAGAAACACCGGGAAACGCCAGAGTCGAGGGTGAAGGAGAGCGCAGCAGTGGCGACCGGTGTCGGAACAGTGAAGGAAAAATCAAGGCTAAACAAGGCAGGGGATCCTACGCCTGACGCAGCAGGGGAGGCAAGACTAGACATACCTATACTAGGGAACAAGGGGTAGTAAGGACCAGTCACACTTGAGTCATCAGCATACAGCACATACAGGGCAGAGCAAATCTCATCCATGTCCATATCAAAAATTGGAACACTACGGCAAAGCAAGCTGTGCGAGTTGGGGAGGTCGGGCGACCGAAGCGATGACGAAACAACTCGTCCAGGCGACAGAAACAACGGATGGGGGTGTGACCGAGCTTACCGCAAACGGAGCCACGGCGAGGACCGGCCTGGAGCTGGTACTGACAGCGCCCGTCACCTGAACTGCCACCCGAAGGCACACCACGCGCACGGCCACCACGTCCACCACCACCACTAGCGCCAAGCCATCCGGGTGGAAGACCACTCGCCCGCCGTTGCGGCTGCGGCTACTACAGCTGCTGCAGCTGATGCTGGGACTGCTGCTGCTGATGGTGCTGGGGCTGCTGCTGCTGCTGATGCTGGTCCGGCTGCGACGCCTACGGCTGCTGGTACGGCTGCTCGGCTGCACCAGGCACGGTCCCCTCGTTAGCGCTACCACCGGGCGACCCGACTCCACCACCACCTCCACCTGCACTGCCTCCCCCACCGCCGCGCCTAGCCTAGGTGCGGCGACCCTTCCCCGGACGGAACTGCGCTGCAGCTGCGGTCTCAGCCACAGCAGCGGAACCGTCTGAGAAGGTGCACTGAGCGGGGGCACAACCCTGAAAGATAGGGACCGGCACAGTACCGCTGGTCTGGGCGATAGAGCGCTGGCGGGTCTCTATGGCAGACAGGGTGTCGACAAAGTCAGTGAGGGTGAGGTCAACGGGGTGGATGCTAAGAAAGCGATCGCGGGCAGTAGCAAGACGGTCAGGGAGGCGGGTGGCAAGCAGGTTGAGGGTAGAGCAAATGGGCAGCTGAAAGGCTCTTAGCTGGGTCTCAGTGCAGGCAGAGCGCCAGGTCGCATCTATCGTGCCCAGGTGAGCGGCCAGGTTAGCGACAGTGGGGAAAGACGCAAGGTCAGGAAAGAACATCGGTAGGATCAGGCGACCTACAGAGGCTGCGGGCGGGGTGGAATAGCACTTGAGAACAGCATCTAGGAACTCCTGCGCAGTCGTGACCGACCTAAAGCGGGGGCGCTCAGACAGGGGGAGGGCATGACTGATCACGAGCTGCTCGACGGCGTCACGCAACAACCAGACTGAGCGGGCATGGGCAGCAGCTGCAGCGGACTCACGGTCAGCGGACAAGGGGTCAGTGGGTAGGGCAGCAGGGGGGTTAGGGCAGGGAAGCGTAACGTCAAGGTGGACCGCCAGGGAGTGGCCATCCTGCCGCTGACCAGTGAGATGACGGCGGAGGTCGACCAGCCATGTGTCAAACTCGAGCGGC